AAAAAAAAAAGAAAGAAAGACGAATATGTGATAGAGACCATATGTGACTCACATCTGGCTTTTCTTAGAAAATATGCTGTCCCCTGTATTTGTTAAAAGAGAAGGTACGGGAAGAGGAGGGAACTATCGGTAATGGGGGAAGAAAAACAGATTTGCAACAATTTTAACTGGAAATCACAGCAAATAGGAAAACTCACACAATAAAATATACATATCTTTAAATTGTTCCTTGGCTTTCATTTTCATCAAGTTYCAAAATAAACAAAAGGTCTTTTAATTATCATATTCTGTAGATTTTTCTTTTTGTAACTAATCTATTTTTCAGTCACAGGTGCTCCTAGAAGAACTAAATTTAAATCTTAAGAGAATATTTTTTCTCCTAGTTAACAAAGGTTAGTCATCAGTAAGGTGTCATCCACTGTAAGGTGGCAATTTATAGGTGTGTCCCCTCATGCATACATTCTTCCCTTCCACACAGCATCTAATAGCTAAGCCCTAAGCAACACTCCATGACATTTTACTCATCTGGTCCAATTTGACTACATACCTAATTCTTCAAAATTTAATCATGTAGAATATCTCACAGCCCTGAAACAAAACTTTGAAAACTAAAAAATGTTTAACCCAAACACAAAAGTCATGATCTCAAGTAATATAAAAAAGCAGTATTCAACCCATTCATTTCACTGTCTACTGAAAGCACATGTACAGGTGTACCTGAAAGTGCTGCTCCATCACTTGGATTTTCCCCTGGTCTGGGCACTTTTTCAGAGCTCTATCTGCATAGTGGAATAGGATTTCTACCATCTGTAAAGAAAAGAGCCTGACATAGAAATCAAAATATACCTGCCAAGTTTTTCAAAACTTAATACATGTGTTCCTCCTAAATAATATAGAAACAGGCTTTGTTATTTTATTAAAAATACAATTAGAATATTTAGTGGTTTTATTTCCTGTTTTTAAGTGTAGCATAAATTCTTTCAGCATCAGGGCTAGTACTAATTTCCTAATCTCTCCTAAGAAATATTTCCATATTTCTAAACCTCAATACTATCTATATTTCTCAGGAAATTAAAAAACTGAAGCTGCCAAGTTTTGCTCTAAAAAGTATGGATGAGCAAATCATTCATGAATCCAAATCCCAGGGTTTTCCTCTTCCTTTCTGCTGTCTTTTGACTATGGTACTATTTTATTATTTTCATATGAGAGTGAAGAGGGGGTRCATGATAAGGAAACTTAAAAAGCATTAAAGATGACACCACAGAATTATAACCTGACAAGTATCTTATATACTTCCTCCATGACTATAACCAATTACTTAATCATGTGCAAAATATTAGCAAATATGAAGCAAATATGTACTGCACCCTAGTGAAGACTACATTAAAGTACTCACCCGATCTGCCACGACAGCCTTTCGTTTACTGGCATCCCCTGATAATCCTGCAGAGAAACAAAATCCAACATAAAAACAAAAGTTAGTAACATGTGTTCAGTAGTGAGCCTGTGTTCTGCTAGTCTCTTTACATCCTTTGCTAAGAACAGATACAATTATAAYAAGCCTTAGTCTCAAAATATTGGCCCAGAAGGCTACAATGAACATCCCCCTTCTGCTTTCATAATAATTTTTTCTTATGAAAGAATTTCAAGAAGTGACATATCAATTTCTATACCCTCTATTTATTTGCTTACCCACTACAGCTTTTGCTTTTCCTTCATGGAAGGACCATGCAAGAGCCAAGGCTTCTGTAAGACAATCTTGTTTCAGGAGATGATCCACTCTCTAAAATAAATAAATAAAATAAAGCTAGATCCCTTTGTCTGACCAACCACTAGTCAAATTCCTATTCTACCTGCTAGCTATCCAGAATTTGCTATCTATCCAGAATGTCAATGTAGCAGAAATGGAGAGCTGTTTACCACAACATCTATTCACTCTCACCTCCTTAGTATAAGTCACAAGTATATCTGAACTCACCAGCTAAAGGAACTTTCTAAGACTCCCTTGTAGCTACTTGAGGCAATGTAATTAAACTCTCATCAATGATAAGTGGAGTGTCTTCTGGTATTTCCATGATGTATCCTTAAAAGATAGCCAGCCTTTATTTTCTCTTTCCTCCTTCCTAGAACATAGACTTAACAGCTGAAGTTCTGGCAACCACACCTGACTATAAAATGATCTTTAGTCTAKAATTCATTAAAAGATGGTATAACAGGGAGCATACTTAAGACCATGGAGCAYCCATACTAGCCACAGGCTGCCTATCTCCAAATTCATTTTATATAAGAGAGAAACCTTGTGTATGCCAATATTATTGTGAAATTCCTGATCATGTAGCCAAATTTAATTCTAATTTATACAATAAGTTTTAGCAAACCATGTACCTAACAGTTATAATCATTTTTATGTATACTTCTGAAATTAAAAAGCACCAATCTTCAGCAAAGCCAAAGCAATTATTAAGATACTCTAACCTATAAAATTACTTTGAACTCACCTCTCTCCAGCTCCTCAGCATCATTACATAAACAGACTAGAAAATTAAAGAGAAGAAAATTAAAATAACCATCTTAACGTTGTTTAGGAGACACAACTGTCCAAGTCATCTCATTTTAGATCCCTCTAAGTAAAAACATTTCACACTACAGTTAGAAGTATCTCTTAGAATTTACTAAAGGGTCTCCAAAAGCTCACATTAAAGAGTAAGCTAAATATTTAAAGGCCAATAAGACTACAATCCAAGGAGTTAACCTCATGGACAATGAATAAACAAAGTCCAGGCTCACCCCCCTGTATTGACTTGACAATATTTTGGATGAATTTTAATAATAAAGAAATGTTTCTCCATTACAAATTGCAAAAAAATAAATAAAAGCACTGGAACATATTGATACACAAAAATTTTCTATTCCCACAATTCTATTCCAAGTTAAATGTTTCAATGCATTTTAATGTATCCCGAGCTGATCTAAGCTAAAAACCATCTTAATTATATGATAACATACATGGTTTCATTTATCTTCCTGATCATTAAAACAAATAGTAAGGGAAGTTATCAAAGCATATCCCTGAATCAAGATAAAAAGCATCCTATCAAAAGTAAAAATGGGTCTAAAAGTGGAGGAAAGAAATTAACTAAATACCATAACTACCTAACCATTAAGTTTTGTATTAGGCCTGATCAGTATCTACTTTGCAATATACTACCCTCTTTAGCAGCAACCTCATTCTGCCCCAACTATCCTGATACACACAAATACTAAAGTGAAAGAGCTTACTTTTGTCCCCAAATAAAATATCTGACCACCATAACTACTGATGGATTGATAACAAGCCTTCTCTCCAACCAAAGCCTGTTAAAAAAAAATGCACAAGGTAAAAATTACATGCATTATAAGGTTCATGAAGTTTCAAAGAATGTCAATTAGAGAGATATTTTAGGTCAACAGAGTCTCATCATAAGTGAGTGGGAAAAAAAATGTCAATCAATTGCCAGTCTGACAGTAAGAAGTGACATAGAAAAGACAAAGTTCAAGAAATAATTCTCTGCTTACATAAATAGCCTGTTTATTTTTCCAGAATTATGTGAGAAAAGGAAAAAAACATGCCAAACTGTAAACGTAAACTGTTACGCCCTATGTCTTACCGGGTGGCAGGTAGTCACTACTTCTGGAAAGGAATGGGACTGACTAGAAATGGTACCTCCAAGTTCTTTRAAATACATATCACATAAAACACAAGAGGAAACAGGAAGACAAAACAGCATAGTATATGGGAGTCAGCACATCAAGCAAAATAGAAAAGCTCATTGATAAATCTGAGTCATAAACTTTGGCTCTGCCACTTATTGGGTATGACATTAACAAATTTCAAAACTCTTGACATTGTTTTCCCATCTCTGAAAAACCCTGCACATTTTGTGAGGCTTAAATGTTAATATTCATAAATGTGCCAAAATATATATGGTCAATACCAGATACCTATGATGTTTCTAACTTTTTTATTTGGGGAACTTAAAATGTATATAAAAGTAGAAAGAATAATAATCAATCTCTAATTGTATTCATTAATCAGCTTCATCATGATCAACTCATCACCAAACTTGTCTCAGCTATTTTTCCACCACTGAAACATAATATAATACTGAAGTGAATTCCACATTCTGAATATCTCATTGATAAAAATTATTACATATTTTTTTTAAAAATGAGTCCTTTTAACATAATTGCAATACCATTAACATACTTTTAAAAAGAAATCATCATTCCTCAATATCAAATATCTAGTCAGTGTTTGGATTTCAAATTGTCTAGTAAATGTTGAAATTTTTATTTTTTGGTTTTGTACATTTCATCTGTCTGAATCAAGATCCAAACAAAGTTCACATATTAGAGCTAGTGACTCTTAAGTCTCTTTTAATCTGTATGTTCTGCCTTCATTTTCTCAAATCTTTATTTCCCTGAAGTTTTTTGTTGTTGTTGTTGTTTGTTGTTTGTAAAAGCTAGAACATTTACTCTACAGTTTTCTACTACTTGGATTTTGCTGACTGCATTCCCATGGAACCATTTAACACATTCCTCTGTCTTCTATATTTTCTGTACAGAAGGCTTAGTCAGATCATGATTTTGTTCGTTTGATTTTTTTATTGGTACCACTTTAAGTATGATGTTAGTTGCCCTTGATTATGAGGATGAAGAAGTCCCCCTCCCCGTTATTCTTGTTGTTACCCAGGGGCGCTTTACCACTGAGCTATATCTCTAGTCCTTTTTATTTTTCATTTTGAGACAGGGTGTTGCCAAATTGTGGAGTCACTACATTGCTAAGGCTGACCATGAACCTGCAGCAAGAGAATGTTGGTCTACAGTGTTCTTTTTTATGTCTTTGGTTTTATTATCAGAATTAACCTAGCCTCATAAAATGAGTTAAGTATACCCTTCTCTATTTTCTAAAGACTTTTGTGTTGAACTGGTATTACTCCTTCCTTAAGTGTTTAATTATACTTTACCAGTGAAGTAACATGGGCCTGAAGTTTCTTTATAGGAAGATTTAATTACAAAATTAAGCCAGGAGTATGGTAGCAAATACCTATAATCTCAGTTACTTGGGAAGCAGAAGCTAAAGAATTGCAAATTCTAGAACAACCTGGGCAAATTAACAAGATCCTGTCTCAAAATTTTAAAAAAAGGGGGTGGGGGTGGGGGGTGTAGTTCAGTGCTTGCCTAAGATGGCAAGACCTTGGATTCAATCCCCAGTATCACCTCTGCAAAAAAAAAAAAAAAAAGGAAAAAGAAAAAAATTTCAAAATTAATTTTTTAATAGATGTATGGCACTTAAATTTTTTATTTATTTTTGAGTCAGCTTTGCCCATTTATGTCTTTCAAGGAAATTTTTCATTTCAGATAAAGTTGTTGCATTTACTGGCATAAGGTTATGCATATTTCCATTTTAATATTTATACAATCTACGGTGATATCATTTTTTCTCCTAATATTGATTATCTGGCTCTTCTTTTTTCTTGATTAGTCTCACTTCAGATTTATCAATTTAATTCATCTTTCAAAGAAATCAGTTTGGTTTATTTGATTTTCTCTATTGCTTGTCCTTTTTTGACTTCTTTATTTGATCTTTATTATTTATTCCTTCAATTTACTTTATTTTACTTTTTCTTTTTTTACTTCTTTAATTAAGGTAGAAATTTAAATCACTGATTTGATATCTTTCTTCTCTCCTAATATAAGTACTTACTGCTATAATTTACTCTCCCAAATTGATTTAAGACTGGGGAAGTAGCTCAGTGATAGAGCGCTTGCCTAACATACATGAGGCCCTGAGTTGGATCCCCAAAACTGTCCTCCCCTACAAAAAAAAATCCTTCAATTAATTATAAACCACAAATTTTAATGTCATATTTTTATTTTCATTCAGTTAAAAATATTTTCTATTTTTCTTTGTGATATTCTTTAACTACCAAATATTAGGATGGTCTCCAGATTTACCCTGATTATACCATCTTTTCTGATATGTGGAATTTGTTTTATGGCACACCACATAATCTATTCAAGTGCTAGTGCACTTGAAAAAATTTTGCAGTTGGGTATGGTACTCTACAAATGTCAGCTAGGTCAAGTCATTAATCATGTTGCCCCCCCCCTAGTTTTATATACTTGGTGATTTTCTGTCTACTTATTCTATTAATTTCTACTTATTCTATTAATTTTAAAATAGAAATTTTAAAATTTCCCATTATAAATATGGATTGTCTGCTTCTCCTTTCGGTTCCCTAAGTCATTCTTTCATATGTTTTGCAGTTCTTTAAAGGTTGCTGAAACTTTAAAGACCCTTATGTCTTCTTGATTAAATTAAATCCCTTATACAGTTTGGAAATTTCTGTTTACTGCTGACAATATTTCTTCCTCTGAAATCTACTTAGTCTCATAGTAACAGCCATTCCCATGATAAGTATGGTATGGCTTTTTCTATTCTTTTAATTGATGGATGTTTATGGATAGATAAAATATAGGTTTAATGTAGAAGGGTTTTGTAGACAGCATATCCATTGTATATTTTTTCCTAGTCTGATAATCTCTGCCCTTTACTTGAAATATCTGGATCCACTGGCATTCTCAGTAATTATTATATGTTTGTATTTAGATATATTAATTAATTGATTTTTAGTTGTGCTTTTTCTCATATATATATTTCTTTGAATTTCTTTAATTTTTTATTTTGTTATATATGACAATAGAATGCATTACAATTCATATTACACATATAGAGCACAATTTTTCATATCTCTGGTTATACACAAAGTACAGTCACACCAATCATGTTCTCATACATATATTWACGGTAATAATGTCCATCTCATTCCATCGTCTTTTCTACCCCCATGACGGCTCCGTTCCCCTCCCTCCCCTTTGCCCTACCTAGAATTCATATAATCATCCTATGCCCTCCACCACATTATGAATCATCGAAAACATTTGGCATTTGTTTTTTGACAGGGATTGGCTAACTTCACTTAGCATTATATTCTCCAACTCTATCCATTTACCTGCAAATGCCATGATTTTATTCTCTTTTAATGCTCAATAATATTCCATTGTGTGTGTGTGTGTGTGTGTGTGTGTGTGTGTATCACATTTTCTTTATCCATTCATCTACTGAAGGGCATCTAGGTTGGTTCCACAGTTTAGCTACTGTGAATTGTGCTGCTATAAACATTGATGTGGTTGTATTCCTGTAGTATGCTGTTTTTAGTCCTTTGGGTATACACCAAGGAATGGGATAGCTGGGTCAAATGGTGGTTCCATTCCCAGTTTTCCAAGGATTCTCCATATTGTTTTCCATGTTGGCTGCACTAATGTGCCGTACCATCAGCAATGTATGAGTGTGCCTTTTTCCCCATATCCTCGCCAACACTATTGTTATTTGTGTTCTTAATAGCTGCCATTCTGATTGGAGTGAGATGAAATCTTAAAGAGTAGTTTTGATTTGCATTTCTCTAATTGCTAGAGATGTTGAACATTTTTTCATGTTTGTTAATTGTATATCTTCTTCTGAGAAGTGTCTGTTCAGTTCCGTGGCCCATTTATTGATTAGATTAGTTTATTTGGTGTTAGGATTTTTTAGTTCTTTATATATCCTAGAAATTAGTGCTCTATTTGACATGCCTGTGGTAAAAATTTGTTCCCAAATTGTAGGCTCTTTATTCACCTCACTGATTGTTTCTTTTGCTAAGAAGCTTTTTAATTTGAATCCATCCCATTTATTGATTCTTGATTTTATTTCCTACACTATAGGAGTCTTATTAAGGAAGTTGGGGCCTAGTCTGATATGATGAAGATTTGGGGCTACTTCTTCTAATAGACACAGTATCTCTGGTTTAATTCCTATATCCTTGATATACTTTGAGTTTTGTGCATGGTGAGAGATAGGGGTTTAATTTCATTTTGTTGCATATGGATTTCCAGTTTTCCCAGTACCATTTGTTAAAGAGRCTATCTTTTCTCCAATGTAAGTGTATAGCGCCTTTGTCTAGTATAACTGTAATTATGTGGGTTAGTCTGTGTGTCCTCTATTCTGTACCATTAGTCTCCCACTCTATTTTGGTGCCAATACCATATTGTTTTTGTTATTATTGCTCTGTAGTATAGTTTAAGGTCTGTTATAGTGATGCCACCTGTCTCACTCTTATTGCTAAGGATTGCTTTAGCTATTCTGGGTCTTATTTTTCCAGATGAATTTCATAACCGCTTTTTCTATTTCTATAAGTAATATCATTGGGATTTTGATCAGAATTGCATTAAGTCTGTATAGTGCTTTTGGTAGTATGGTCATTTTGATAATATTA